TCGTGTTCCTCTCGTAGAGACGCGTCGAATGAAATATAAGTTAACCTTGAAAGGTCAACTTAAAAATTTGACCTCAGGTCAAGGTCATGACCTGACCGGAAAAGGTCATGTTGCATATCAGTCGATCCGCAACGTCGAGCTGAACACATCTAAGGCGGTTGAAGCGCTCTAGCACGCCTCTATCAGAAGTTATTAGCGAAAAACTGTTAGATTCTGTTCGTGACCTGAGATGACCTCGGGGACATAACGAGGGGTCACAGTTGCCATTTTCCGGTTCAGTGTGTCAATTTTACCTACATCTCGATGTTTGAGAGTGTCTAGAATAGCGTTCGTGCAAAACAGACGCTTTTCAATTTTCTCCCATTGACTTATAATGGGGAGGCCGCAAAATTGACCTGACCTTAGGTCACCGATATCAAAATTCTGAGATATACATTTTATAGATACTGTTACCCTCATCAATCGCTGTAAGTTTCAAAGCGATCAGTCACTCGGTGTAGCTATGGCAGACATTGAAACTTTTTATGAGGTGAGGTTACTTCAAGTGACCTGGTGACCTGACCTTGAATGACCTTGGTCTGAAATTTTCACAACCTGTGTAGAATTGATGCATGATAAGGTGTATTAAAAACGGCGGCGCTCCGCGCCGCCGTTTTTGAGATATCTGCGAAAAATCGCAGGGGGGTGTTCAAACACCCCCCCACACTTGGGCGCGGGTTAAGATCGGGAAAATATCAGACATGACTAATTGCCCCAGGAAAGGATTGCAATCCGGATTGGATTGCAAAAATTGGAAGTATGATGCAATCCAATCCGCAATCAAATCCTGTTTTTTGGAATGGATTTCAAATCCAGGTGCAATCCACCAAAAAGGAATGCAATCAGGATTTTGCAATCCTGCAATCACAATCCTACCGATGCCTGTCTAACAGGCCACGATTTTCCCGACTTTTGGGTCATTAACCTGACCTGGAAGGTCAACCGATGACCTAGGACCTTTGGGTATCATCATCATTGGGTATCATTGGGTATCATCAGCTTCCTCGCGTCACGGGCAGCACGCTCGTTTTTTCCGCGAAGCTCTAGCTCAATCAGGGGCGAAACGGCAAGGGGGGGTCCAACGGACCCCCCCCCCCCCCCACCCCCACCCCATATACGTTCGCGGCTGGAAAAACACCAGTACGGACGAGGGATAAACGATAGAGGGTTTAGTCGGGGTAGAACCAAGACAAATTTAGGTAGGGGTTATGATAGTGTTATATGAAAACTTCATCATATCCCGGTCCTCACCGCGCCCGGTCGACCGCCGGCGGCTGGCCGGTGGCGTACGCCGGCAATACTTGACCATTGCGGTGGAAGGCGAAACTTCCGGGGGAAGCCCGGGTCGACCGGGCGCTCTACGGGCCGGGCCTCAGTTCTGCTAATCTCTTCCTGACCAGGATTTCATGGTGCCATGTAATGTCATGAAACGGTCGTGCTTCAACAAACTCAACATTGTCCAGCTATAACTTCATGCAGACCAGATTGTTTCCAAAGTGCCTAGACCGTTTGCAAACGGCCTGGTGTCTCGAAAGTTGTCATACGGCCTAGACGGTTTCCAAACGGCCTGAAATTTCAGGCGGTTTGCATACAGCCTGAAATTTCAGCCCGTATTCAAACGGTCTGACTTTTCAGTCCGTTTGCATACTGACTGGGCTGTCCAGGCCGTTTTCAAACGGCCTGAATCGGACCAGGCCGTTTGCAAACGGACTGAGTTTTCATACGGCCTGTAACATATACATGGCATACATGGCATACATACATGACATGGCGATTATGTGGGTTAGGCAGCCTTTGGGGTCAGCCTAGGTCACTTTTTGGTGAAGGTCAGGTCAAGGTCAGGTCAAATTAGGTCAAATTTCAAAGTTGATATTTTTTGCATAAAATGGGTATCGATTCGATGCATCTCGTCACGGGAAGTCTTATAGTGGTCTTTATTTTGCTCTACGTACCTTCTATAGATGGCCTTGGACCTGATTATTTGTTAATAGTTACGCAATACAGTTATTTTTTTTTTGCAGTGCAAATAATTTAGAGACTCCCTGACTTGTTTTTGTTGCCCTATTTTAAATTATTTCCTTTCAATGCTTATCATATGTTTTGAGAAAGTTTGAAGCATTTGTTTGATAATTCCCTGAATTCGGTACCTAGTCGGTATTTTCCCCTATTTCTAAAATCGGTTCGGTTTCGGTATACACTCAGTGGTTTTGGTCGGTATCGGTTTGGTATCGGTTTCCAAAATTTCTGAAATTGACATCACTAATCCATTTACCGAAGCATGCTTATATAAAGCATGTGGTGCTATATTTAGCATCTGCTCTAGAAAATTCTGTTTATTTTAAGCATCAATTTGTTTAACATGTGAATAGCACCCCAGTAGCACCGGTTTAGCGCAAAGGGAGCTAAACTTGTCTTACAGTGTAGAGTCGCTCAGCCGGTTCTGAGGGCTGACTGAGGGCCCGTAGGTCCTTCAGACCGTCAAAGGACCCTATAGCCCATGAGAGCCTCATAAGCTGTCTGAGGGTCATGTAAGCCGTCTAAGGGCCACTCAGACCGACAAAAGAGCTTGCACTTTCAGAGGGCCCTGTCAGACCGACGGAGGGCCATCTCAGACAAACTAAAGGGCCATTTAGGTCATTTGAGGTCCTCCTCAAACCGATAGGGGCACCTCAGATCGACAGTGGATCCGATCCGATCTGAGATCCCTCAAACCGACAAAAGGGTCAGACCAACAGTAGGAAAGCAACAGATCACCAGCGGGCCCTTCAGGTGAACAGAGGGCTCTCTCAGGTCGATCGAGGTACCCATAGGCCGGCAGGGGCCCCTCAGAACAGCGCAGGGCCTCTCCAGGGCCCCTGAGACTGACAGAGATAGAGTGTCGATACGTCATCGATATGTCATGTCGATAGAGGACCTCCTCAGGTGTGGAAAAAATCCCTCCAGTTGATATAGGCCCCCTCGGACAAACAACGGGCCTCTCAGGCCGATGGGGAGCCCCTCAGACCGACAGAATGCCCTCTTGGTCCAAAAAGGGCCCCTCATGCAAATAACGGTTCCTTTAGACTAACAGTGGGCCCTTCTTCAGAACTACAATAAAGGCTGCATGCACTTTGATTTTCTGCACACACCGTTGGACCCCCTGGTTTCGAAACGGCTCTAAATTGTGGCTCCTTTGGCCAAATTATGGTTCTGCAGCTGCATCAAAGGATCTGATGCAGGGGCCTTTGTGTCGCCAAGTGCCTACTGTGTCAGCCAGCCAGGGGCCCCAGGTTTGGCGTGATGGGGACCCTTTTGGGCTCCAAGGGGGGCATGGCCCCTATGACCCCCCCGCCTTCCTTGCTCAGGTCCTTGAAGGAAGGGGACGTGGGCACCAAACTGGGTCTGCGTATAACACGCCCTACTGGGGGGGGGGGGGGGGCTATTCATAGCCCCCCTCCTAACTCCGAAACTACTGGGCCGATCGTCAAAATTCAAACGGCGTCTGATAGCCCCGGAAAAACTGTCGAGCGAAACCTAATTTCATTGACCTCGAGGTCACCGATGACGTCACAGGTCATGTCAAAGTAAAAATTATTAGCATTTTGGCTTCTTCACGTTTTGGGCTCTGGCCGCCGTCTTACAACTCAGATCAGGCTCATTTTTGGTTCACACACTCGTGAACAGATGCTCTAGATACTCTGAGGGTACCGAACTTGTACTTTGATTTTCAGGTCAAGGTCAGGTCATCACAGGTCACGAAAATATTATATCATCCGTCGGGCACGTGACACATGTTTTATGGTCCATTTAGGCCAAAAATTTCGAATTTGATGTCGTCTGTGTCATTCGAGGTCATTTTGAGTCAAATTTAGCTTAGGTCAGGTCACTTTCAGGTCAAAAAAGGTCAAATTTTGAAGTTAAAATTTTTCAACAAAAAAGGTGTCCATTGGATGCAGTTTGAGCTCAGGAACACGATGGTGCTATTTATATTGGCGTACGATGTCAAAGTTGTGCTGAAAAATTGATTTGAAAAACTAATAATTGTTAATTTTTTGCAATAATGCGTATAACTTGGCCATTTTTGAAGATATTTAGCTAAAACTTGCTAGAGTTAGTCATAATAATGCGTTCTATCACATATATTCCGGTTTTTTCGAAAAGTCCAAAATGTTTTGAAAAAAAATGTAAGAATATAAATTTTGAATTTTATTATATAAAATTTGCGAAATTTTCAGAATTTCGAAAATCCGAGATAGCAGTTTGATAGCGCAGTCTATTCTGAGTCCTCTCATGCAAAGAAATTGGATCTAGCTTAAAAACTGAGCGCTTGGGAGTGATTGCCGTGGTTCAATGTTTTGCGTCGAAATCGGCCGAACATGACGTCACTCTGACGACATTTCCGGCTGACCTATGGTAGGTACGAAGTTCATAGTTTGACACAAGGTGTCAAATTGATGCAGCCGAAGGTACTGAAAGTTTGGCGTCGATACGTCAAGCGGTTTGGAAGTTATTGCAGAAAAACGGGAGGGGGGCTATAAATAGCCCCCCCCCCCCCCCAATGGTTAAAAGGCACTGTTGGACAAGCTGTATTCCCATGTCAATGGCACATATTATGGAGGGGCAAAAATGTACCCCTTTGCCCCTTCTCCAAAGGTTTCATAGGGGACGATGCCTCCTGTGTCACTACCACTCCGTACCTACCTGTCGCCCCTGTCCCCCTGTCGCCGGCGCAGGCCATTTTGAGTCCCTCGACGGCACCAGGGGGGTTGGTGCGACCTCCGTCTCGCGTTTAGCACAAACGCGGGGTGGAATTTTTTGTATATTTTATGTCTGAAATTCTATGTCTAAATTTTATGTCAGAAACGGGGGCGAAATTTAATGTGTTTCGCACCTCCCCCTCTGGCTGCGCTACTGCGCCCATGGCCAGCGCTTTGTTTGAGCCGCTCTGTTTGAGCCGTTCTGTTTGGGCCGCTCTGTTTCAGGTGCGCTGTGCCGCAGTCGCCGCCGCTGGAGACAGGCGCCGACGGCGGGCAGCGAGACTGCCGCTGCTGAGTGTCGGCCGGCTCGCGATTTTCCTAAGTGTGGAACTGCCCATACCTAAGGTTTATGATTGGCGCAAGCTTCGCCGAGATGACGTTACAGGCTGTGACGTCCTGGCTCACAGTCGGCTGACCAATCGCTGCACGATTATAGGCTAGCGGCGCGCGGCACTAGCGCCTCTGGTGTTATTATGGGAAGTTGAGCAATTACATTAAAATCTAATGCATAGCTTGTGTTGGGAACAATTATGTATTACTAAGGCGTCAATGTCTCACAAATTAATTCGTCCATGCTCCTCACATTTTGCAAAGTGACCTTATATTATGTGTCATAAGGTACTACACTACGCTTCAAACAATCAACACAAAGCACCAGCCAGGCACTGTTACAAGTAGCGAGCAGTTAAGTGGCGGCAGGTGGCGCTACCATCTCCAGCATCGGTCCAGATGGCGTCACTCACTATCCGCACGTCTATACATAGTTCCGCACTACCTGCTAATAAAATAAATAATAAATCCGCTAATAAATCTGCTAATAATCTCGCTAATAAATCTGCTAATAATAAATTCGCACTACCTGCTAATTTATGTCCTATTGGTGTCAAACATCATTCAACGCCGATAGGCAGTATCACCAGCCGTAATACTGAAGACATTTTCTCAATGCTGAAGCGAAACGCAGTGCACAAACCACACCGTCAAAACTCAAGCACCTCGTAGGAGATATGCTTCCAAGGTGGGCGAATGCACGAACGATAACTGAAATTACACCGGTTATATATTCACGTAGAACAAGTTACTTTTTCTCTAGCTAGGGAACTCGCTGAAATTAGGACTGACTAAATATTTACGCAGGATAACTGGCTCCGCCTCTTCGCCAACTTAAGGACCCGCCAATCTATGCACCTAGCCGCCAGCGCCGAGTGATGACGTCACTCGAACGGACGACGGTATGAATAGTTCCACACTTAGGAAACTCGCGGCCGGCTCTGCCCCGACTGCCGCCGCCGCTCTGCTCAGAGAGTGTCTGCCGTCAGCACAGAGAGGGCTCGAGAGGGCACGACATGCTGCCTACCCGGCCGCCGCGCCATCACTAACAGTCGACAACAGTGGGAGCCGTAACTTCCCACTTGTCGTCCTGAAACACTTCTTACTGATGTCACTACGTAATGAGGTGATAAGTACCAGTAAAACGCCTTTTGGGCGAAGAACGAGCGAGCGAGCGAGATAGTGAGCCCTGCACGTGCGGAAGGCGAGAGGGTACTTCCAACGGGCTTGTGCAAAGCACCCTTCTAACCGGTCGCTAGCGGTGTGCCAAATTTGAACGTAATCGGCCCAGCCGTTCCTGAGATCTGGAAGCGGCATTCTGCAAGTGCGCACGTGCAAACGGGGTCCAAAATGACTTTTGCACGGCACCCTACTAACCGGTCCCCAACCGTGTACCAAATTTGAGCGCAATCGGCCCAGCCGTTCTCGAGATCTGGAAACGCCCCCTGCACGTGCGCACGTGCATTAGCACCCTAACCGCAACACATGGGAATGCATCGCCTGGTGGGTGCCTACCTGTATGCCAAGTTTCAGCGAAATCGCCCCAGTAATTACCGAGTTACTGAAATGAGAACAAATTTGGCACCTCTTCTTTTTGTATTTTGCACGTGCAGTTGGGGTCACTCACATAGATCAAGAGTATCCTACCTTTGGTAGAAGGGATGCAGCTACCCTATAAAAATTACCGCAAGACAATCGCTCAAGCCGCTGCTGAGATATGGGCTTCTCAGGGCTTCTCAAAATCATTACTTTTGCAAAACTGCTTGAACGCCCTTGACTTTTCACGTGGCACGTGCCACGACGGTCACTGAGATGTATCAAAAGTAGTCAATTACGGGGTGGAAGGGCTACCCAGCAAAAAAGACCGCAGGCCAATCGGTCCAGCGGTTGCTGAGCTATAAGCCTCTGAAAAGCGTTACAGGCCGTGCCGGGCCGGGCCGCTCATACTGAGATTTTTCCGTTATATTGAAAAGACTTCGCTTCGCTCGCTGCGCTCGCTCGCTCGTAATCACCCGTAGCTCTCGGAATTCATTTTGCATTCCGAATGTATTGCATTCCTTCCCCTAGCCCAGTCTGCCGGCCGTGTTCCCTGTCCGTGTCCATGTGACCCCGCCTGACCTGCGGCCCGCCCTGTCCGTGTCCATGTGACCCCGCCTGACCTGCGGCCCGCCCTGTCCCCATATTTAATATTATTAATATTTCTTTTAATTTTACCTTTTTATTTTTGTATGCGATATTTACTGTTAGTATTCTGATATTTGGTGTTGGCATTCGGTTTGTTATGGTTTTCCAAATGTTATGTATGTAGGTACATGCTTTACATGACTAGCCCTGACCTGACCTGACCGGCCGTGACCGTCCATCCGAAGCGGACACGGGTAGCACGGCATCGGCCACTTTTAACCCTGTTGTTGACCAGTGTTTTTCTATACGGAGATGGTAATGACTGACCATTGTCCATGTCTTCAGGTATGCTCGTATTTTCGGGAGCCGTGGTCGGCAGCGGGTGCGCACTGCCGAGCTGACCGGACCGGACCGGCCCTGGCGTCCGATCGCCAGCTGGCGAGGGAGGGCCGACCACGGCGCTGCAGTCCGCTGCGACCGCCGTCCGCTGGGGGCGCCCGTCCGCTGGAGGAGGCGGCCGCCGTCCGCTGGAGGAGGCGGCCGCCGTCCGCTGGAGGAGGCGGGCGCCGTCCGCTGGGGGCGCCGGTCCGCTGGAGGAGGCAGCCGCCGTCCGCTGGAGGAGGCAGCCGCCGTCCGGCGCGCACCTGCACCCCAACAGTGTCCGTGTACGTGATGTAGGTCGTCTCTCAAATCTCCCCGTTCCATATACGAACGCACAAAGCAATTCCTATAATCCTTCCTGAATCCTTCCCCTCGGGTCCTTCTTTTTTTCCCTTTTCACTTTAAGTTTAGTTAAGTTTAAACATATTAACTTATTATTATTATTAACTTATTACTAACTTAACTTATTAACTTATTTTTAACTTATTGACTTCTTCAGCGCCGTTGTCAACGGCGCTGAAGAAGTCAATAGATGAAACCGGTACGCCCTTAATGTAACTGTTTTAAAGTTTGATTCGTGGAGCCTGGAGGTTCATGTACTCTCGATACAAGAAGCGTGTTGTTTACCGCGTCTTGACGAGAGGAACACGATGCCACTAAAAGTAGGCTATTGCAAGTTATGAGTCAAAAAGTTATTTAAGAAAAACTGTTACCGCTAAAATGAACGTCAATTTTGGCAGTTTTTCCCCGTGGATGCTAAAACGTCGACCTTAGGCCAAATCTGAGAACATTATCTCGGAGAGACCGTTATTAGAGCTATGGAATGCGCTGAACCGCGGCGTTGTAGCTCCATGTGTTCCTGAGCTCCATATTGTGCTGGTCTGTAAAAGATTGTCGAAGTTTGACTGGAAAGTGGTGAAATTTTACCTTTTGGTCACCTCTGGTGACAGGACGTTTCACCTGATTAAAATGTGAACATAACGTCGTAATTTTTTACGCTTTTTTCCAACGTCGCTCACCGCGTGTCGCTACGTGGCCCGGGAGCCGAGTTAGTTAGAAGGGGGGAGTGGTGGTTCAAACATCCCTCCAGCAGGGCGTGGAAATCCAGGATCCCCATTGGGGCGCAGGTTAATCTCTCCATTTGTTTTTGTTTTGTTGGTTTAGGCCCTTTCGGTCTGACGAGACCGAAGGGCCAGAAGGATTTCAGAGCCAGAAGGGCGCTAGGAATTAGGGGGAGACATTGGTCTGGGCAGACACCCTAGAGAGTCACCGGCCCGTCCCGAAGGACAGGCCGACCAGCCCCACGGTACTCGCTCCACCCGGCTACGGGGTGCGCTCCCTCGGGAGCAGCGGTGCCGCTCCAAGCAGCCGGGAAAAATGGCTGTGAATATTTTGTGCGAATAGCTTAAGACTTTTTTAAATTTTGTACGTCAATCAAAATTTTGTTTTTTCTTGTATGAAAATTGTGGATTAGAATATAACAATAAGTGAACCGTTTTTGTTGCCTATTGCATGTTTGTAATCTGTTGTTTGTAATCATGTTTGTAATCTGCTGCCCTAACGTCACCTATGAACGGTTAGGTGAGATAGTGGTTTTGCATATTGCCAACAGCGGCAGCACTTGTCGGGGTTGCAGTGCGTCGAAGCACACAATAGGGACCAGATATGAAATGATTTTTCATTAATTAATTTGTATAGCCAACTATGGTGTAGCGTCATTCCACAATGATAGTTGTTGCTATTGGCTAGGCCCGCCCGATGCGCATGCATGAAAAACATGCTTTTGAAATCAATTCATCTTAAAAGCTTTTTCTTCATAGGAGGTCCGATTAGAAGTGTTCATTTTGGCCGACAGATGGCTGTAGCACTGCATGGCGTCGGCGTTTGGGACTGGGAGTTTTTTTTAATTATTATTCTTCCCATGACGAAAGTTATGTTGCGTTTGCACAGGAAAACTACGGACATTCGCTTAATGCTCCAAATTAATGTCCCTGTATAGATAGTCTACCTTGATAAAAGAAGTTGTATTGAGTTTTGTTTCAAAACAAGCATCATACTTCTTGACTTTAAGTTATAAAGCTGGAAAATTGCTATCACGGCATGGGGACCACAGGGGCAATGTGGAAACCCGGACTCGGGACTCGGGGACTCGGGAACGAGAAACACTGCGTCCATATGAAGGCGTCCTCTCCGATCCCAGAGATCCCTCTACGTCTCCCGGCCCACCCTCTGTCCGACGGTTGGTTGGCAATATGGACTGCAGAGGTCACCACCGTCCGTGGAGCCATTCAGCCCAGCCAGATGTCTGGCTAGTGGTTGGCGATATGGACTGCAGAGGTCGCCACGGTCTCTCGGCTCGCTGCATTGTGTGCGGCGCTGCTCCACCTGTGGTGGCTCGTGGTGTAGACATTAGCGGAAATAGCGGGTATTTTGGCCGTTACGAGAAGGAGGGTATGGTGCGCAATGGAGTCTAAGGAAAGTCGTCGACCTGAGATCAGATAAATTCGCCGTGGTGTCCGCTGTCCTTATTCTAAAACTTAATATGACGACACAAAAAAAGTTGGAAAAACGCCACAATTATATTTAATCACTTCTCCTGTAGTGCGTCTCAGGATATTTTTGACTTTTTCCAGACATTTCACAATGTTTACGTATTTTGCATTTCATATGATGGTCAAAGTGGCACACCATAAATGTACATGTTCCATAGTGTCACTTCCACATGTGTCAGTTAGCCCGTGTCATGTGGCGCAGTGCATCTAT